TTGCAAGCTCTGCGGGACCTCCCTGTGCCAGCAGGGATCCAGCCCCGGCCTGTGACCCATAGTCGAGGGACCTGGGGTGGGCCCTTACTGCGCTGGCGCCGCCCGTCTGGCCCGGTGAACACCCCAGCGCAGGCGGCACGCGGCGGAGGAAGGCGTCGAACAGAGCCGCCAACGGAAGCTGCTTTGTCCCCGTGGGCAGCCCGGCAGCGAGCGGCAGCCCGACATGAGCGGCCTGCCTGAGTCGTGGTGGCAAGGCGGACGCCCGAGGGTGCCCGCGACAGAGTCTGGGCACCCTCGTTCTGGGTCGTTCTAGGGGGCAGCACCCCTAGAGCCAAGCGTCCGGCCCAGCCCAAACCTCCTGGCTACAGTGCAGCAGAGGGTGAGGCACTGGCTGTGACCTCAAATCATCACTGCGGGTAGCAGAGCAAGACACTTTATTGCTCAGTGGTTAGCGCTGGCAGGGGCTGGCACTGGGGTGAAGGGTGATGGCAAGTTGCACTGTCCAGGCGGCAGAGGGTCCCGGGGGGCAGCGTCTGCATGGGGCTGTGGGGAGCCAGCTGGCAGGGGACCCCGCCCTTCAGGCAGAGCAGAGCAGTGCCTGGCTGCTCCCCAAGCCCTGCTCCCCTGTCACCTCCTCCAGTGACCGGCTGCCCTGTGGCAGGATGATCTCAGCGACCTTGCAGCTGGGCGCGAAGGGCTCCGAGCCTGCCAGGACCAGCGCCCCCTGCAGGGTGTGTCTCTGATCGTTGCTCAGCTCCGGGGTGTCGTAGTGAATCCGGATCCAGGGTGAACCTACGGAAACGGGGGGCGGGGGCTGAGACACTTGTCACCCCTGCTGGGTCTGGGGAAGGACAGCACTGGGAGGGAGCGGGGCTCTTGGGGTGCATCTGCCGGGGCTGGGATGGGCAGCAAGGGCCTCGTTCCCTGGGCAGAGATGGGATCAAAACAGGAAGCAGCTGGTTCCTAACCCAAGAGACGGGGGGCAGGAGCTTCCCAGGTCGTCTTGGGGTGTCAGGAGTCATGGGTTGGCCTGGCCGGGGCTCCCCAAGTGTGCACCTGCTCTAATCCCATCCACCTGCTCTAATCCCATCCACCCCATTTGCAGTTTGGTGGGGGTGTAGTGCCAGGTGTCTCCCCCTCCCCAAGCCAGTGCCAGGCCCCAGCCCAGGGGCCCTCAGTCCAGAAGTGCCATCTACACCCAGGCAAAGGGAACCCAAGGGAGCCCCCAGGCTCTGTACCACTGAACTGGCAGTGCAGAATAACTGGATTATGCCAGGCAAAGGGGATGGGTGCCCCAGAGCAGGTCAGATACTGCGGGAATGGGCAGCGGAATAAAACCCTAAGATAGACCGAAAGGTCCAAGGGACTGGCTGGTCCTGGCTGGAGTCTGGCCCCAGGAGCAGACCCCAGGGCAGGCAGCGCAGAGCAGGTGGGTGGGTGGAGAGCCCGGCAAGCAGACGCCCTGGGCGGGGTGCGCTTGGCTCTTACCTTTAGCCACGCGCTGCCCCACCGTCACCAGCAGCTCGGCCCCCACGTGGTGGTTGATTGGCTGCCCCTTCTGGGTGCGGCCGGCTCCCAGCTCATGCAGCACCTGGGCGATGGGCAGGGCCTCGACCCTCTGCACTGTGCCTGGGGAGAAGGGCGGAGACAGGTCAGCAGTTACGGAGCTCGCGAGCCGGGGCTGGGGTCACAGGCGTGGGGATGGGGGGCGGGAGCTTGGAGACATTGGGGTGCAGAAGGCAGCACAACCTGCCTCCCCCACTGTCCCTTGCGGTCAGGGCGGGGGGCACTAGCCTGTGCCCCTCTCCCCACACCAGCTCCTTTGGTTCCTATTGCGGTGGGGGGCAGAGAGCAGCTCCCCCTGTAGGCTGGGGCTGCCCCATCCTCGTTCCCCACCCCCGCTTACCGTCCTGGGCCGCGGGCAGCTCCTCCTGGCCACGAGCCCGGCCGAGCACCTGGTAGCGCTGCTCCTCCGTCCCTGTGCACAGGGCCTGGGCCACGCCGGCCTCCACCCCCTGGGCCTGCAGCATGGCCTGGAACTTCCCCAGGGCCGAGCCATCAGCCAGCGAGGCTGCGATGCGGGCAGCGCCCTGCCCCACCGAGCCGGCCTTCCCGCACTGCCACAGCAGAGAGCCCCCTGCGCCGGGAGAGATGGGCTGGGGTCTCACTCCTGCACATGGAGACCCCCCCCCCCGCAGTCCCCTCCCACCCCTCTGCCCCAAGGTGCTGCTCTCGTCCCGTCGTCCCCGGCACAGCCCCCCAGCAAGCCTGGT